AATATATAATATGAAAAATTCAATTTTTAATTTATGTTTGTGCCAATTTTAATACAAGGAGACAATTTTTTTTTTCCATGAAGTTTTAGGATTCACCTATAAATTTGTGTTTTCATAAAGAATTTCTTTATCATAGTCTTTTTTTTTTTTTTTGTGAGTCAATATAATATAATCAATTATTTTTTATTTCAATAAATAATTAATGAAAAATATTTCTATTTTAAGTAGAAAAAAAATCATTAAAGCTATTGTTCTTTTAGTTAAACCCATAGGTGCCTCTTTGATTTTTTTTTTTTTTAAAAAAACAGTTTGAGTATGTGTTTTAAGAAAAAAAAACTAATTCGGTTTTCGGTGGAAACCGAATTTGAAAAAAAAAAACCGAACCGAACCAAAATAATTTCGGTTTTTTTTTTTAATTTTTTTTTAAAACCAAACCGAAATTATTAATTCGATTCGATTCGATTTGATATTTCGGTTTTAATCGAATAGTGAACACCCCTAGTTACAATGATCAACCTTCATCTAAATACAAACCCTCTAATTTATTTTCTTTTTCACCTACGATATCCCCTCTATCTTTCGCTTCCACAAAAGCCATGAAAACACTTCAAAACCGCCGGCCGCCACCACCACTCACAGTCCTGCTGCAACCCACAAACCCAAATTTAATATACCAGCATTAATCACTGCAATCCACCTGTATACTACCATTACCATCCACAACATTGCCGCAACCTGCAAGTCGAGATCGAAAAAACTTTCATATACTCCCTATCCCTCTGTCTCGCAAAAGAGGTTTTTTTAAAAAAAAACGTCTTAAAATGTATTTCTTTTAACAAAAAATTCCAAATTTTATTACTTTACGTTTAAAAAAAAATTAAATTCCCATATTTTTTTTCAGCTACATTTAATGTAGTAAATCCAAAAGATACATGAATTGGCACAGTATTTAAAACATTTTTTTTTTTTTAAAGTTTGTGTGAATAGTCTAATAAGAATAACAAACTATAGATGACCTAAGTCAATATAAAGCGTTACCGCTCGAAAGGCAATTGACCCATTTTTGTAAATGCATTGTTTCGATGATGAATTGTTTGAAATTTAACCACAATTACAAATCTATTGGAATATGCCTAGTTTCGGAAGGATTCAAACTCCTTGACATCAATCATTACGGAAAAGAATATATAATATTATTTGTAGGTACCAACCAAAACCAAAATCGACATCAGTTGGTAAAATTAATTACTCTTAATTTCAACGAAGGAATAAAAACAGGGGACCTCGAGTAAATAAGGAAATGGGGTAAGTCAGTACACTGGCTACATGAGTGCCAGAAAACAGAGCGAAAAATACAATCTTTTCAAACTTCGTCCCATAGTGACCACATGAATCGGTACATCAAATTAATTAGACGGTCTTAGCCCTTAATTAATGATGTTTGGTAAGAGCATCCATCGAGCTTTATGTAAAAGTCAAAATTATCATGGTCCTAACTATTGGGCCATGCATCCTAAAACAGTTTCACATGACTTTTATATCATGGTCTAATAAGGTCCATGACAGCCGCAGATTTGGTAAGAGGCATCCAGCTAGTGAACAACTAAGAAGAAGATTGCAGCCTTTTTTTCCCAATATTTATATAACTGAACCGGCCATGTGTGTTTGCTCATCAATCTATCTTACGTCAAGTGCTCTATATGGCACTTTTGCAAGTAATCTCAGTTTTGGGTCTTTTAGTGCTGTGCATGGCAGCCACGGCTTCTTCACATAGCAGGCATTCGCGTTACACCCCTCCTAATGTTATGCGATTAACTGATGTTTTTAGTCACGTCTCAATTGGTCAAGAGTTTTCTACATTTTTTGGAGGCTCAAACACTAAGCTGTTAAACAATGGGTCTTACGCTAATCTTGCTCTTGACAAATCCTCGGGTACGAATATGGCCAGATCAACTGTGGCTTCGTAAATGGTGCTTAATCTTTCTGAGCTAATGAAAAAATTCTCGCTTTTTTTTTCGGGTTCTTTAATTTGCAGGCTCTGGATTGGCCTCACGCGACAAATATTACTATGGATTTTTTAGTGCTGCCATAAAGTTGCCGTCTGGTCTATCACCTGGAGTTGTGGTAGCCTTCTACGTAAGCTAGCTCTTCGGTTTTCATTTATTTAGTTTTGTTTACTCTAATTCCACAAGTTAATGGGAAAAACATAATTTAATTTCAACAGTTATGAATTGTATGCTGCTGCACATTGAGTACATAGACATTGATTACTAATACATAGGACCCAAAAACTTCAGCTGTCTAATGCAGATAATTACCCACACAACCATGATGAGATTGACATCGAGCTTCTTGGTCATGATATGAGAAACAATTGGGTCCTTCAAACCAATGTCTATGCAGATGGAAGTGTTGGCACCGGTAGAGAAGAGAAATTCTATCTTTGGTTTGATCCCACCGAGCAGCACCATCATTACAGCATCATCTGGAACCGTCATCACATTGTGTAAGAAAATCACCTACACCACACAATAATTGGCTTTGAACTCTGATATTGAAATTTTGATTTTCTTTTACTTATTATGATATGGGGATTGGATAGTAACGAAATAATCAATGCAGGTTTCTGGTGGACAATATACCGGTTAGAGAGTTTGCATACAGCAGTTCTTACCCTTCTGTATATCCATCAAAGCCTATGTCTCTTTATGCAACGATATGGGACGGTTCGCAGTGGGCAACTCATGGAGGAAAGTATCCAGTTAACTACAAATATGCTCCATTTGTGGTTTCATTTGCAGAAATGGAGATGACTGGTTGCATTTCTAATCAAACTGCCACTGTTACTTCATGTTCTAAGGCTAATCCATCAAGCTTGGACCCTGTTGAAGGACCGGAGTTTGTTAGGCTATCAAAGGAACAGAGTGTGGCAATGGATTGGGCAAGAAGGAAGCTCATGTTCTACTCTTACTGTATTGATAGAGCCAGGTTCAAGGTCATGCCACCTGAGTGCAAATAAATTTATCTCATTTTTTATTTGTTCATAAATCATAATCACCTCAAATTGTATTACTTTTCCTTCATGGGAGGGGAAAAAAGAAAGAAGACATTCTTTACTTAACGCCTTATAAACAAAACCCAACGTTTGCTCAGAGACAAAATTTAATGGAACCGATATGTTTATATGCTACTCTTGTAACTGAAATCATTCTCTCTTCTATCACTTCCATGGAATTTGTGAATTAATCGAAAGCTTTGGGGTTCAAGCACTTTAAAGCTCTGGAAACTAATTTGGTCTATCACTATCTTTCGTGTAGATAGAAAAATCCATAAAAGCTTTCTTCAAAATATTTTGATAAGACTTCTTTGTACGCTTGACACAATGTATCTCATTGCAATTTTATTTTGACTATCAAAACACTAAAAATGTTTTTCAACAAGCAAATAAAAATAAAAAATAATGATAGAATGATATTAAAATCCATTAATTTATTAAGAAAGATTCTTAGTTATTTTTTTTGATATATAGGAAATGCTTCATTATTATCTTGATAACCTTAGACTCCTTTAAATGAAAGGATTTATAATTTTTCTCTAAATTCATTTTGGCAAACTCTACCAACAATTGAAAAAAATTCCTTTAACCAAAAGGATTCACAATGTACTATTCATTATCATGTTTTATTATATTTATTTTCATTTTACAATCAAACTGAATTTAATTTTAAAATAAAAATTCTAAAATATATATTGTTTTAATTTTTTAATTGAAACAACTATTTACACGTATTGAAATAGAAAGAAAAAAGAATGAACCTCTCATCCCCTTTTTTTTTCTTTTTGTTTGTGAAATAAAAATATAAAATTATTTTTTAACATTTGAAGTATTTTAGAAGTTGAGAATATAACTATTATATTTGCAATGACAACTCAGCTTTACATTTAATTTTTACTTCATTGAAATTCATATTTACTTTATACACTACCAAAAAAAAAAACTATCTTAATAAGAAAATATCGGACTTTATATTAAATTATTTAAATATCAAATAATTGAATTTGTTCTTTTTTTAAAATTAAAACAATTTATTAAATATAAATATTCAATATATAAGACCAGCAAGTTGCAGGCACAATAATGTGAACTGATCACGGACAGCTATAGAGCAAGTTGGAAGCTCAATCATGATGCGGCACGTAGATTCATAGATGGTAGCAGCTTGAAAGAGCATGGCGGGATGGTATTTGCCTATCCATTCCGTTTGACCCACTCTATTTTTAAAATTAAAATTATATCTTATATAAAATCTGTAATTATAATATTTTAATAATAAAATAAAACAAAACAAAACAAAAATAAAAAATTTAAACGAATCACCGATACCTTGCGAGATCCTCGTCTCAGTTTGAAACGGGAATGAAATAAGAAGTATCGCTTCGCATGAAACACGGAGCAAAATCGGGGTAAAATTTTCAGAGAAGAGACATAGGCGGAGATGGCCCCGCCCCATTGCCATTCCAACATAGAATTGGGCCAAGCTATGGCGGGGAAGACTGGTGATAATGGTTCTGACAACTACCAAGCAGCTTGCAGCACTAGCTGGCCTACTTACAAAAGCTTGCATAACTTTGAAGCAAAGTATATGATATATTTTGTCTAAGTGAATCTGCAACTGTCATGTCTTCGAATTTGAATCTCAGCATTTTTCAAACACTGCCCACCAGCAATGCAAAATGTTTTTAACTTGAACAAGAAAGAAAGCAACAACTGCAATGTTATCAAGTGAAAGGAAAGTTTCGACCTCAATATACAAATAAAACACGAAAAATGCTGAACCTTATTCTACCTTCTCCACAAACAGGTGACCATTTATCATCATCAATCATATCATTTGTCGTCATTATCATGATCACCAGACAACTGCACTATTAAAGCCTGCGATTTATTATTTAGCAAGAACCAGGCAAAAGAAGTACTTGAAAAGGCAACTTAAAAGGACCTATAGCCATGCTGGATTCTTGAGTGGGGTAACAACAGCCTTCACTTGCAAGTAATTGCTAAGACTGTAAATGCCCTTTTCTCTACCATGTCCACTCATCTTGTATCCACCAAAAGGAATGGCAGCATCGAAGACATCAAAGCAATTTACCCATATTGATCCAGCCTTCAACGCACGTGTCAGGGTGTTTGCAGTGTCTATGTTCTGTGTGAAAACCCCTGCAGCAAGTCCGTAGTTACTGTTATTGGCCCTTCGTATCACTTCATCCAAGTCCCTGCAATTGTTTGTTTTTAAAGATTAGTGCTACTATAAGCGAACGTCCTTTGTATCAAGCTGAAGAAGAGGAATGTTGCTCACTTGAATTTCAAGATGGACTGAACTGGCCCAAATATCTCATCCGTTGCTATCAGCATGTCATCCTGGTATGTTTACTGATTATGTCAGTTTCACAATCATTTCCCAGTCTTCAATGTAAAATGGTTGTCAGAGAAGCAAAATACCTTAACATTTGAAAAAACAGTGGGCTGGATATAATATCCATTTGCGCCAAATCTGTTGCCTCCAGTTTCAAGGTTAGCTCCACTCTCAACACCAGATCTTATGTACCTCAAGATCTTCTCAAATTGTTCTGAATCAACCTGTTGCAGTGAATCATTTTCAGCACCACCACAGCAGGTAGTTGCACCAGAAGTGCTTAACAGAAAACCAGCAGATAACTTTTACAAGGTAAATGCCAAAATTTCTTTTTCATGCATTTTGATTTGTTCTTTTTAATTTTAACGAAATCATATTGACTGGAAATGTTTGCAAAACTATATACCAGAGAATACTTATGCACATAATGAACATAAAACTTCTAAACTTAAAGAATTCAACAATTTTTCACAACAAGAAAACCACATCTTGTAAGGATTTCTTAAACAATAAAGAGCTTCTAATTTACCTGAGGGCCTTGCTCAATACCCCCTTGAACGGATCACCAACAACACGTTTGATAGCACGTGCCTTTGCTTTCTCCACAAACTCATCATATACACGCTCATGCACAAATGTACGAGAGCCAGCACAGCAGCATTGGCCCTGCAAAGTGCACAAAACTGTGATCAATAAAATAATTCGAACTACCATAAAAACAACCCTTGTGTCTTTTTTTTTCCCTTTATCCTCAATAATTCAATCCAATGGTGTTGAGAAAAAAATTCCTGGACATACCTGATTAAAGAATAGAGCAAAGTGAGAAAGCTCAACAGCCTGATCAACATCAGCATCCTCACAAACAATGAACGGGGATTTCCCTCCAAGCTCCAAAGTTACTGGTTTAAGATTGCTTTTTGCTGCTAACTCAAGTACAATTTTCCCAGTAACAGTTGATCCTGTGAAAGCAAGCTGCAGAGAGATTGCAGGTTAAGAGTAAATAGGGATCCCGTACCAAATATAAGCTACTAAATAAATGCCTCCAACTATTAATACTTCAAATAGGGCAGCATACTAGCATCTCTTTAAAAACTTTGCAAAAGTTGCATCCTCTATCTTCAGAGGCATTTCCATCAATGATAATACCATCAACTGCGTTTCGAATTTTCAAAAGCAAATGTGACACATCTCGCATGCTTAAAGTTATATGTTTTTTTGAAGTGCTTTTCCACCCCAACTTACCAATTCAGCTAATTACTGAGATTTTTAAGGTTTCTTTTAGTGCAAATAACTACCAGGCAGAAACAACTGTTGTATGACTCCCTTGTAAGTTGCCCTGGATAATAAAATCAGAATTTCAACTATTTACCACAAGCTGAATTCAAAACAGAAACCAAAAACCCTCAAGCATCATGTTTTAGGACCAACTGGACCCAATATTTTTGTGCATTCCCCATACAGTTCTAAAATCATTGATCAATAGTTGAGAAGATTCACAGGAACATATATACACTAGATCTGGGCACAGATTTATTTGAAACAAGCTCAATAAATGGTTCCAAAGTCAGTGATCGTTAGTCCATAGAAATTCCAGGTGCCTACACTAGATCTCAAGTCATAACTGCCCGAAGAACTAATAGAATATAAATTTTAAACCTAGAGGTGCAGAATCTGCAAGTTCAACACATGCCTAAAGTAAAGGTGCCTATCACTGTTAAGGAAAAAACAAAGTTGTCCAAGGCTGCAAATACCTTATCCACATTCATATGGCTAGCAAGAGCAGCACCAGCAGTTGGACCAAAACCAGAAACTACATTAAGAACACCATCTGGAAGTCCAGCCTGTTAGAAGAATTGTCTGATCAGAACCACAAATAGAAATCACATATGGCTAGACATTTGCTACCCAAATTTTACATAATACACAGGTAAGAAAGCACATATGTGGCATAGATGGTCAGCGTGAAATGTAGTAAAATTCTATATCATTTGGAGCAATGTCAACATTAAAAAAACCATTCATCAATAATTATGCAGAAATTCACCAAATGCAAGAAGCGACCAAAAAAATAAAATCAAAACTACCTCATGGAATAGCTTGGTTGCGTATATAGCAGATAACGGGGTCTGCTCTGCTGTCTTAATAACAACAGTGTTGCCACATGCTAATGCTGGCCCTACCTTCCAAGCATACATGAGAAGAGGAAAATTCCAAGGAATAATCTGACCTGCTACACCAATTGGTTCGTGCAAGGTTTGCACATGATATGGCCCATCAGCTGGAAGCGTGAGGCCATGGATTTTATCTGCCCAACCTGAGAAATTGAAAAATATTAATTAAGAAATCCAAAAAAGGAAAAAAAAAAGTTGTGCAGAATATGAGAAAGTTCAAATCATATTATAGTAATAAAATAGCATCTCTTCGCTTTTACTTCACCCACCAGCATAGTATCTAAATAGACGTGCAGTCATTGGTACTTCAATTTTAGCAGCTTGCTCATATGGTTTGCCATTGTCCCAAGTTTCAAGAGCCGCAATTTCGTCATTATGCTTTTCAAGCAAATCAGCAAAACGCAACAAGATCTTTGACCTTTCCTGGAACACAACAAGAAAATCTCAACCCACGAATCCCTTTTCTTTTTCTTTTCCATTTCACATAAATAACAAGCAACTAATCCAATAAAAGTTAACAACTAAGAGGAGGAATAGTTACATAAGCTGTCATCCGTGGCCATGGTCCTTCATCAAAAGCCTTACGGGCAGCAGAGACTGCTATATCTATATCTTCAGCATCGCCTTCAGCAACATGAGCAATTACTTTCCCTGTCCTGGGGTCCATTGTTGGAAACGTCCTTCCTGTAGGCCAAAACGTTTAAGTCAAAAAAAAAAAAAGGAAAAACAAAAGTTGTTCTCTATGTTGCTAATTTGATGGACACATAGACTACTATGTCTCAATTAAATCTTGAAATTTCCATTAGGAGTCGCACATGTTCAAATTCTGGGATGGCTACCTCCATTGTCGAATCCCAAAATCGTTAGGAAAAAAAAGAAAAAAACACTATGCTCTCAGAAAAATGAGAAAATTATTCTGGCCCCGTCATGAAATTTCAATCTCAAAGTGTCCATCGAAACTTGTTCAGACTTCTACCTCTATATGCATCCCGAAACCCAGTGGCCCACACCCAAAGAAGGAAAAAAAAAAAAAAGGGTCCAAAGGCAATAAATGCTTTAAAAAAGGATATCGTACTCCCAGCAACGATTAAACATTTGAGATTGTACGGTAATGAATGTACAGCAACGGATCTTTAATTACAAATAGTAGGAAATAAATGAGAAGAAAAGTTCACACCTGATGCTGCATCCACGAATTGTCCATTAATCAAGAGTTGATTGTGTTTCACAGAGACAGGTGGAATTATTGGCTCCTCAGCAGCAGCAGCAGCAGTGCTATTATATCTACTGATTACTCTCGCCAGCCCAACAGCACTCCTTCCTGAAATAAGTAATCCAATAACAAGCGCAATCAAAACTAATGAAAACTCTTCGTTTGATAGCCAATAAAGAATGAAAGTTAAGCGATCCTTGATATCGACAAGTACATAAAGAACGAAAACAGAGGGTCATGATAATATATCCAAAAAAAAAAAAAAACAAAGAGAGAGAAAAGCTGAGTCTTCAGATCGCAATGAAATTACCTCCTGGGATCAAAGAACGAACAAAAGCAGAAGTGAAAGAGCGAGAGAGCAAGGTTGATTTCTTCAAGGCAGCCATGACAAAGACTGAAAACAGTACAGTCGCCCTCTCTAAGTTGTTCGGTGCTTTGGAATACACATCAACCAGGTATAATATTTTAAATAAATGCTATAGGGAAATATAACACTATTCCTTTTTCAGCAAAATGAGTTGGCAGTGTGGCTTTCAACCTGTCTTGCTTTCGCTTATCCGATAATGATGGAAGGAACGCAACATTTTCTTTAACTTTTTTTAAATACTTATTAAATAAAAATGTTTCCATTAAATAATAACAAACACATGATAATTGATATATTATACTTATAGAAAGTTTTTAAATTATAACTAATCATATATTATCCAAAAAACCGAATATTTCTTTTTTATTTATTTATCTTTAAAATTACATAAAAAATTAACGTATATATTTTTATATAAAATAAATATATAAATAAAAGTATTAAAGAGAATATTAGAGAGAGCTTCTTTTAATTGATTATACAGTGTTTACGATGCATAAGTATGACTTGTTCCAAGTATGGAGAAGTTTTCCCTTTGCTAAAGTCTAATTTTAAGAAGGAAACCGCAACTCGTGACCAACCAACAACCTGGTGGCGGGACCCAGACTACCAACTAAGTAATCACGCCCGAGAAAAAATAAAACAAACCAACCGCGCGTTACAATCACTAGAAAAGTACAAACAATGATCGTGAAAGCAAAATGCTCCTTTTTCTCCTTCGAAATAGTTGAATAGCGGTTACGGAACAGGGATGGCGTCTTTCAGACCAGATAGAATTGGACTAATCCAATGTAAATATGTAGATATGTCCGAGGATCGTGTTAAAGATATCTGGTTTACATATACGAGTTTTTGGTCGAGGAGTAGTTATTTTTATGATTATTAAAGAGAGACTCCGTAAAATATAGATTGATAGGTAGCATTTAGTTGGTGCGGCGATTAGATATCAAATAAAAAATTTTCAACAATCTCTTTCTCGTGTGTCCAAATTCCTAGGAATGAAGATCACACAGCACATTACCATCTTACCGCAAACCGAGTTACGCGCTCAACATGTGCAGAAGTATGATGGACCTTAACAGAAGTAGCATCAAATTAAGTTAGAGGTAGTTATATGTTAGTCCTTGTAGTTTGATAAAAATGATTGATTGGTCATTGAGGTTTCATGAACCATATATTTAATCCATGTATTCTTAAGTATATTTATAACTTGGTCTTTTTTTTCAATTTCATTTTATTTTTCAAATATAAAAAAGAAAAGATAAGTAGATAATATCATCTTGATAAGATGGGGACGCCTTGTTGGGAAATACTTGATAAGATCGGGAAATCATGTCAGGAAAGAATGTATCTTTTTGGAAAGAAAAAAAAAACACTATTACTGGATTGAGGATAATCCATTATGATTTAATTATTTCTTATACTATAGGTTTGTTCGGAAAATGCCTCTAATCAAAATTTTCCTTCATAATTATTTCTCTTCTCTTTTAAATTGGAAAGGATAAAAAAACACAAAAGAAAGTAATTGTTATAATTAAAAAATAAAAAGAGAAGTAGAAAATGTAATTCCATTTATCCAATTGCAAATATGAAGTTCTCTAGTTTTTTTTCTCAAAAAAAAAAAAAAAAAAAATCTAAAGTGAAGTTGAACCCATCAGAATTCCAATTGATATTACATGACAAATTATGAAGCAACATCAACATCCATCATGCCATTATTTCTTCATCAATCCATCTCAACCTTAAGAGCCCTCTATTAAAATAACAAATAGTATACCTAAAACTTAACCTATAATCAAATCTATTTCGTCCACCACCTACCTATCTCTAATAAAAGACTATTAAACAATTTCTCACAATAAAGAACTAATTGCTTTGTTTCAGTAAACATAGAGTCACTGATTTATGATTAACTCTTAAATTAGAGAAAACCTAACTATGTCAGGTCGTCTACTGTTCATTGGTGCAAACTGGAGCTTGATAACAGTGTCAAGACGTTTTTTGTTCCTAAGGGCGGTTGGCAAGAAAACCTCTTAGGTTTTTCCTACCAAACAATTTTAAATATCAAAGATATATGTGTTTAATTTTTTTTTATGAATTCCTTATATAAATCAAAAAACAATTAATACATGTTATGAAAGAACCATTTAATATCGTTTTTTTTTTTCAGGTTTTAATTTTTTTTAATTTGCTTTTAAAAAATTAAAAACTTATTTGATTGGTTAGTTTTTTTTTCCCCCTTCAAAAACTTGCCTTTAGTTTCGATCAAATAATTGAATTATTAAGATTTGATCCCAAGCAACCCGAACTCTTGAGATCTGGTCTTGATATTAACCCTGAACAATTCAAATCTGGTTTCGTTTTGGTAATCAAGAATTTGGATCTTGTCTCAATCCAAATACAAGCACTATGGTATTGGTCTTGGCTTGCACTAGTCTGGAGCCAACCCCCGTTGTGCTCGGACTTGGTCCCGACCTAGACTCCTAACGCTTTGAGCTCGGTCCCAGCCCCACCCTTGGTCACGTCAGATCCAGTCTCAACCCCACCTTTAGGTGTCTGAGAATCGATCCTCACCCGACCTTGGGTGCCCAACACTAGGTCTCGGCTTGAACGCTGGGCGCCTTGGACCTAGACCTCCAAGTACCTCTAAACCCGTCCTAGCCCGACCATATGAGTCTATGAATTCCTACACCGACTTTCGGTAGTCGTGGACATTGTATCAAATAGAATTCAAGGTGCCTCGGATCAGGTACCAACTCAAATCCCAAACGCTTTGAATTAGGTTTTAATTCAAATTTCTAACACGATTCAAATAAAATTTTTGATTTTTGAATTCCATGCAACTCCCAAAATATATAATGACATTGTAAAAAAAATATTTTTGAAAACCATAATTTTGACAAAATTTGTTGTCTTTTTTTGAAAAAAAAATAAATAAAAACGAAAACAAACAAATTTTCTTATCTTATTTTTAAACATTTGAAAACTAAAACAGAAAACGAAAACCATACCAAACCACCATTAAAATTTTTCAATTTTCATTTTCAATTTACGTTTTATAGGATTCTTAGTGAGGTGACATTATTTGGTTATTTAATATCGAACTATTCACGTCCTTTGATTTTTGTCTAATTCAATCATACCATTCAGCCAATCGACAATCTAGGCAATTGATCGTGAATAATTCTCATTTTGCACCTATGACCCCAAAAAAAGAAAAAAGTTAAGAGAAGAGAAGAGAGAGAGCAGAAATCAAGCCCTCGGAATGGTAGTTGGCACTTGGCAGCGTCGCAGCCATTTTTCATCGGATTCAGACGATAGGCGTCGTTGAAAAAATCAAGGGAGATAGGCCTTGTTGCGTGACATTTCTCTACCAGTCACCTTCTTAAAAACTGCACTTAAATTTGAACGAGAAAAATCATGTTCTTTTTGCTTCCGTGTTGGTATTTAAAAGTCAATTTGAATTATATATCTCAAATTTGGTCAATCACACTCCAAGTACCTCAAATTTAGATAAATTTGTCCCAATAACTAACACTTGTTTTATATAAAATTGAAATTAAATCCATTGCTTGTGATCTTCAATTTGACAAGTCCACCGATACAAGTAATTTCGGGTGCAATGAACTAAAACTAGATGATGAGGTGTAAATGCAGGCGCGAACAAGATTGTTTTCTCGATTTGCGTAGTTTGATGTCAATTTTGATGACTATGCAACTTAGCGGCGGAATCAGGACATAGGATCCCCTGTTCACAAATGACAGGCATTGGATTGGATTTTCAATGGGTGTGGATATGGCCTGCTGCTCTGTCAGCCGCCACCGTCAAAATCCTCTATTTTCACCTAAGACTTCAATTGCAAATTTATTAAAATTCTATAAAAAAATCTTCTGAAAGAAATTGATAAAATTAGATGGACTAATACGTTTTACATCCACATCCATAAAGCTAACAAGAAATAGATTTGTCACCTTCCAAGAGGTTTCTCCTTGCCTCGGGTCTATGCCATCATTCTTGGGTTTTTTTCCACTGCAGGTTACTTTTATATATTATTTGTTATGGTTCAGGAATTTTAATTTTATTTGTAAAAAAGCACTTTTGCCATATCAGCTCTTTTTTTCTTTTTTCTTCTCTCTCTCTCTGTTTTTTTTTTTTTTCAGAATCACTATGTTGACTCCAGTTTGCTCATTTATTATGGCATGCTAATTTTCAACTCGCTCCCTTCTCTTTATTTATTAGTACAAACAATGATTAACTCAGTTCTTTTATTTTAGAATGTCAATTTTCAACTCTCTGTGCGTTCCATTTATTTGTTAACACCAACAACAATTAACTTACAATTGTATAAATTATGTCTAAAAATTCATCCACATCCTTTGTTCATTCTCTACAACTGAAATCGAAAGCAGCAGCAATTAACCTTTTTTTTCCTCTTGGATGCCCGTTTCGACAGCTTTTATAGCTGCTAAAATCTTCAATGCCTTGTTTTTTTTCTTTAATCAGTTTTGGTACAAATATTAAAATCTCATCGATATTTAAAAAAAATGCCTAAATAAAGTATTGATTGGGCAAATTTTGCTTAAAAAAAGTAAAAGCTCATTAGTTTTAAAAATTTATAAATAATAAAAATAACAAAAAATATAATTTGGATGCCAAATTATTATGGAAGGAATTAACAAGATTTTATGCGAAGGTTATCTAAACAGCGATAGAAAAAAAAACAATACGAACTTTATTTTATGCATTATTCTTAAAATATTGCAAACAACCAATAATCTTAAATATTAGCTTTAGATTTAATAAAACTTCACAAGTAGATAAGAAAATCAACAAAGTTTAATAATTGTACTACATGGTCCTGGAATAAAAAACACTAAAGAAGAGAAAAAAAAAAAAAAAGAAGACAAAAGGTCCTCTAGCTTGCTTCTGAATTTGCTATGAAGAATTTTGTGACCAAAAAATCCATATTATGCATCACTGTTTACATCTAAATCTATAAAATATAAAATATAAAAAAG